CCCCCCACAGTCCAAAAGAGTCCAGTGGCATCTTTCAGACCAAGTTTTATTCAGGTACAAGATCTCCCTCCTCTGCAAGGACAGATCTGCACACCCCCCCCAATAGCTAGCAATCCAAAACTGTCCAGTGGAGCCTGAGCGGTGGGTGTTGCCTTCTGACACACTTCCGGTGATGTCAGGGGGCGTGGCATATGCAAATAAGTTATGCTAATGAGCTCCTGCACCTCTTTTCCTACAAAATGACCCCTGTCGGTATCTATTTAGTTTCCCGTCTCTGCGCTTTACCCAGTTGGACCTTACCAGGGGTCCATTTTCATTTGGAAGTTTTATCTGCTGCAGAAGTGCCTTCTGGGCAGGAAAGGTGTACGATTACCCCACGAGGGTAGGCTGCAGAAACCGTTAGAACAGGAGGCCTTTCCGCTGTCTCTTAGCCTCAGTCTTCCGAGGGGGCTACCAGTGAGTCAGAGGGATAGATAGGCATAGGGCACAGACAGGGTTGGAGGCAGGGGATCCCCTGGTTTGGAGGCCCTCCCCCCCTGCTTCAGGGTTTTCAGAGAGCAGGGGGAGGGGGGAAATGTCTGCTGAGCACTCCGTTATACCCTATGGAGATGGGTCCCCATAGGGTATAACGGAGAATTGATCCATGGGTATCTGGGTCTCGGGGAGGCTATTTTTTGAGGCAGAGGCACCAAATTTTCGGTATAGCATCTGGTGCCTCTCCTCAAAAACTACCCCCAAGTTTGAAAGAGATTCTAATAGAACATAAGAACATAAGAGATGCCAATGTTGGATCAGGCCAAAGGCCCATCCAGTCCAACACTCTGTGTCACACAGTGGCCAGAAATACCAGTGCCATCAGGAGGTCCACCAGTGGGGCCAGGACATTAGAAGCCCTCCCACTGTTGACCCCCCCCCCCCAAACCACCAAAAACACAGACACTTGCCCCAGAGCCCCTAGCTATACCTTGTGGCTAATAGCCACTGATGGACCTCTGCTCCATATGCTTATCTAATTCCCTTTTGAAGCCGTCCATGCTTGTAGCTGCCACCACTTCCTGTGGCAGTGAATTCCATGTGTTAATCACTCTTTGGGTGAAGAAGTACTTCCTTTTATCCGTTCTAACCCGACCGCTCTGCAGTTTCATGGAGTGCCCACGAGTTCTTGTATTGTGAGAAAGGGAGAAAAGTACCTCTTTCTCTACCTGCTCTATCCCATGCATAATCTTATAAACCTCGATCATGTCACCCCTCAGTCGTCGTTTCTCCAAGCTAAAGAGCCCTAAGCGCTTTAACCTTTCCTCATAGGGAAAGTGTTCCAACCCTTTTATCATAGCCCCAGAAGAAGGTGACGCCATCCTCCATTATTTCCAACGGAGACGGCCAGACCTCCCTTCAGAGTTCAATCGGGCTTCTTCCCTCATCTCTCCTGGAGGCTCCAGGAAGGTCCCCCACCGGCTTGTCGGCCTCACCTGGCAGCCCTAAATGGGGTACTAGAGTGTGTGTGGCTTGGGTGGAGAATGCGTTGGGAGCAACGACTGTGTTAGAAGCTCAAGCTCCTACCACGGAATCACAGGAACCTTCTGGATATGGGGGGTGGACCTGGAAGGGACATCACAGGATGTGACATCACAAAAGTGATGTCACATCCTGGCTCCATCCCCCAAAGTCCCCAGATTGTTTCCTGAGTCAGACCTGGCACCCCTAGACACAGAGCATCCTTCCTCTCTTCTCCACTGCTATCCCTTTGAAGCGTAGATTGCTGCTCTCAGGGAAGTTCCTTCCTTCCGGCTTGACAGCTCTCTCTCCCACACATTGCCCCGACTCTCCATCTTGGCACCATGAGAGCACGTCTTCCATCTCTGGACATCCAGCTAATTAGATTAGATGAGGTAGGCTCTCTCTTATTTATTTATTTATTTTATTTCATTTATACCCCGCCCTCCCCGCATGCGGGCTCAGGGCGGCTTACACGGCACAACAGTGCAATAAAATATAACATATTAAAACAATTTAGGCACACAGGGTGCGATAAAATTACACCATTTAACCACTTAAAACACAGTTCAATCTTACAGGATGCATCGGTAGTTGAAAATACTACCGATACTCTTATCTTTCCTGTCTAGAGAGCGGAGTTCTTATAGTAAAGCTCCTTATTAGTTTGAATCTGAAACGTGTATCTTTTGTTGACACACTCGCACACAACTGATATTGAAGGGTATTGAAGACAGAGCAGCCAGTATCCTAATGCCCCTTTATAAATCGATGGTGCGACCTCATTTGGAATACTGTGTGCAGTTCTGGTCACCACACCTTAAAAAGGATATTATAGCATTGGGAAAAGGGCAGAAAAGGGCAACTCGAATGATAAAAGGGTTGGAACACTTTTCCTATGAGGAAAGGTTAAGACGCTTAGGGCTCTTTAGCTTGGAGAAACGACGACTGAGGGGTGACATGATCGAGGTCTATAAGATTATGCATGGGATACAGCAGGTTGAGAAAGAGGTACTTTTCTCCCTTTCTCACAATTCAAGAACTCGTGGGCACTCTATGAAATTGCTGAGCGGTCGGGTTAGAACGGATCAAAGGACGTCCTTCACCCAGAGAGTGATTCACACATGGAATTCACTGCCACAGGAAGTGGTGGCGGCTACAAGCATGGACGGCTTCAAGAGGGAATTAGATGAGCATATGGAGCAGAGGTCCATCAGTGGCTATTAGCCACAAGGTATAGATAGGGACTCTGGGGCAAGTGTCTTCTTGGTGCTTGGGGGGGGGGTCAACAGTGGGAGGGCTTCTAATGTCCTGGCCCCACTGGTGGACCTCCTGATGGCATCTGGTACTTTTGGCCACTGTGTGACACAGTGTTGGACTGGATGGGCCTTTGGCCTGATCCAGCATTGACTTCTCTTATGTTCTTACACACACAGCCTCAGCTAACCACACGACTCATGCTGTGCTTATAGCCTAGTATACTCTGCTAAATTACATGAATATGTTGGAATAATTTCCAAACAGGACCTCCCCCCCCTGGCAGGCCTTATTCCCAGACCGGGGAGAAAATGGCTGATGTTGTTATTCTTTCAAGACTGCGTGGCCCAGGGGGTACGGGATTTGCTCATCCATTGATACTGAAAATGACAAAATCCGGCCCGTTTGCGACAAATGAACTCCTCTGTGTTGCTAGTCTTGGGTTCAGTGGCCTTTGGGTATCCACATCACACGTTAACAGAAAGCTAAAACAAGTTGGGGGGGGTTGTGTATTACCTGGGGACAGGCTCCTGCTGATCTCCTGCTCAAAGAGGTCACTGAAGTCCTCTCCGGCATTCAGTTTCTCCAAGCGGTCATCGATGAACTGAGAAAAGTTTATTTATTTATTTATTTATTCGATTTATACCCCTCCCCGCCGAGGCAGGCTCAGGGCGGCTTACATAAAATGCATATATAAATACAATTAAAATCCATCATAAAAACAACCCCAGCACAGGGTATTGAAAATGATCCTATTAATGACAGGGTATTCACTCCCTTTTACGACCTGAGCTAATACCGCTTAATCTAGGGGAAGATATCCCAATTCCACAAATACCGAAAGCCTTTGATTGCCACGTTATTAACTGCCAGAAAGTCAGCGATAGCTTCAAAGTGGAAGAGCGAATGCCACAAAGACAGCGATAGCTTCAAAGTGGAAGAGCAAATGCCACAAAGACAACAATAGCTTCAAAGTGGAAGAATGAATGCCGCAAAGACATTCAATGCCACAAAGACATTCAAAGTGGAAGAGCGAATGCCACAAAGACATCGATAGCTTCGAAGTGGAAGAACGAATGCCACAAAGACATCGATAGCTTCAAAGCAGAAGAACGAATGCCACAAAGACATCGATAGCTTCAAAGTGGAAGAGCGAATGCCACAAAGACAGCGATAGCTTCAAAGCGGAAGAACGAATGCCCCAAAGACAGCGATCACTTCAAAGCGGAAGAACGAATGCCCCAAAGACAGCGATAGCTTCAAAGCGGAAGAACGAATGCCACAAAGACAGCGATAGCTTCAGAGTGGAAGAACGAATGCCACAAAGACAGCGATAGCTTCAGAGTGAAAGGAATGCCACAAAGACAGTGATAGCTTCAAAGTGGAAGAACGAATGCCACAAAGACAGCGATACCTTCAAAGCGGAAGAATGAAAGCCCCAAAGACAGCGATAGCTTCAAAGCGGAAGAACGAATGCCACAAAGACAGCGATAGCTTCAAAGCGGAACAACGAATGCCACAAAGACAGCGATAGCTTCAAAGCGGAAGAACGAATGCCACAAAGACAGTGATAGCTTCAAAGCGGAAGAACGAATGCCACAAAGACAGTGATGGCTTCAGAGTGGAAGAACGAATCTGCCACTGTACCTGCTTGAAGAGCTGCAGGTGTGCGGCCCTCTGCAGAAAGGGCTGCATGGAGCTGGATCCGTGCTTCAGGAAGGTCTCTTGACAGAAGGAGACAGGCTGCCCCTGGAGAGAGAGAGAGAGAGAGAGAGAGAAAGGAGGTTGTGGAGGTGGGGAGTGAAATCCGGGCATCCCCACAGAGGCTTTGAGACAGGCCCCTAGCCAGGGTTTTGTGGCTTGTGGGGCAATTTTTTTTTCTGGTGGGGTTGAAGTTCTCAGGGGAGAAAGAAAAGGCATATAGCCAATAGAGAGCTGTACCAGGATAGATCCCTAAACTGCAAGCTGTTGACCACTTGAGACAACAGTTCTCAGCTGCTGCAAGTTAATCACTTCTGCCAGCCTAAGCAACAATTCTGATAACAAGCCGGCAGGTGGAGGTGATGACTACTAAAGTCAAGAAAACAAACACTCAGGCAAAAAGACTCTCTTGATACAGTTTCTTGACACAAAGTTAGAAGGTATCCTAGAGGTCACCTACTCCAACCCCTTTGCTCCAACCTACTCCAACAACAGCAGCTCACTCTGCTTAAAGGAGCGCATGCCTTTAAAAATGATTAAAATGATTGAAAAAGCATTTACAGGGGAAGTTCTTGTGGGGCTGTGCCTTTTAAAAAGGGGGCCGAGCCCCCCAAAGCCCCACCACAGCTATGGGCCTGCTTTGAGATGCAACAGACAAAATGCCAGGTTGTCACATTGGTCTGAAGACAAATCATTTAGGCTGGGCCCTCACAGACACCACAAGCACAATACCAGAAGCCCAGGAGGGTGTTGTGCTAATGTCACATCTGTACAGCTGCCAGATTTGAGTCTTTGAGCACCTTAGAGACCAACAGCATTTGGGAGTCAAAACTCCCTTCATCAGATACAAGCTTTGACTATATATATAATATGTGTGTGTGTATACACACACACACAAGATAAGATATAAAAGGGATACAAAAGAAAGGAAGGATTATATAACAAATTATGGCCCTGGTCACACGGAGATTTTGCTGCGCAAAAGGCACGAATGTCAGGTGGATTTTCGATGCACGATCACACCGCAACATCTGGGAAGCGTAGCGCACCCGTGGCCAACTCGTGGGAGTTAAAAAGTACCTCGGAAAGTGCACTAGTATCCGGAAAATGCGCGGCAGGGGCAGGCGTCTGATCGTGGGAGCGCTAGTATCCCGTGGCATCCGGCACCCGTCCACGTCCCATCGCAAACCAGATGTTTTTCGTAAGTGCATGCACATAAACATGTAACTGAAAGCAGTGCTGCTCCGTGGAACTGCACATGCACACAAACGCGAAACGCTTGCTGCGCCGCTTCTTTGCCACGCTCCAGCATCGCCGTGTGATCACCAGCCTAAGCGCGAAGACTTGGGGGGAGCGGGCTACCGCGTGTGATTGGGCTACCATGTTTTATTTTGCTCTGGGGCGAACAGCCATGCCTCCCACCGGCATTATCTGGCCCATGTGGCCTATCTATATCAAAAGTTGTTATACATTGCAGGGCATATAGAACAGAAAATGTTTCTCACCAACATTCCTTTCATTATAATTTGTATGAAATTTTCTATAGCATACCGTAGTCCTTACTTCAAACATCTTAAATTTCAAATCCCACAGCTGATCTATTTTGCAACTATATTGTTAATTTCATCTTTACTACAGATACCAAAATTTAAGGTCCCTTATATATCTCAGAATAAAAAATATGATATTTTTGTTCAAGATCCACTTCCTTCCACATTTATATTCAGAACTTATTCTTATTCTGCTTCTACACTGTAATACATTTATACGCAGAAAAACATTCCCATTCTAAATTTTATACTGTTTCTCATTCTAAGTTTGTCTCCTGATTACATAATAGACACGCCATCTCTCCTCAGATTTTGAAATCGATCTATTTCTCAAATAAATAGTTAATTTCACCGTTACTGCATACTGGGCAAGTTTATCTTCCCGTTCTTCTAAGCTTGGGCAGACCCCTGATTTCCATTGAAAGCTCCTACACCCCCCTCCAAATCTTGTTGATCTTTTCTGGTGCTACTGGATTCGAATTTAGCTCTTCTAATGTAGGCCAAGACGGCTACCCTCCGAAACTATCTTTATGTGTAGTGCTGTGACACATGTGGCAGCCCAGTCTAACGGCAGGACCAGTTGCATGCAAAATGGCCACCATTTTCCCAGCGTCGTGTACCAGGACATAGATGCCTCCGGAGAGCTCTAGAGAGCTCCTTTCAGCTACAATCTCCCTTCAGGTTGCCAGACTCCAGGCGGGGGCTGGAGATCTCCTGGAACTACAGCTTATCTTCAGACGACAGAGATCCGTTCTCTTGCAGAAAATGTCTGCTTCGGAGACTGAGCTCTCTATGCAGGGTTGCCAGCTCCAGGTTGGGAAATACCTGGAGGTTTTGGAGGTGGAGCCTGCGGAGGGTGGGGTCTGGGGCGGGGAGGGACTTCAATGGGCTATAATGCCATAGAATTCCCATCCCAAAGCGGCCATTTTCTCCAGCCTGGAGATCAGTTGTAATCACAGGAGATCTCCAGACACCACCTGAAGCATGGCAACCCTAGTTCTGTGGCATCAATACCCTGCGGAGGTCTCTCCCCAACGCCAGCCCCAACCACCACCCCCAAGTCCCCAGGAAGTCCCCAGCCTAGACAGGGCAACACTCATCTCCCTCCTCGTCTGGTGGGTTGAGCTACGAGGAGCCATCAGGGTTGCCAGGTCTGGGTTGGGAAATGCCTGGAGATTTTGGGGGTGGAGCCTGGGGAGGGCGGGGTTTGGGGAGGGGAGGGGCCTCAGCCAGGTCCAATGCCCTAGAGCAGGGGTGTCGAACTCATTTGTTATGAGGGCCGGATCTGACATAAATGAGACCTTGTCGGGCCGGGCCCACGTGTGTCATAAAAGGTAATGCCAGGCAGCGGAGAGATAAACTTTATAAAGGACACAAACGGGTTTTTTAAAAACTTAAAATAAAAAACATGCTTAAAACATCAGCACTCTTGCAATATTTTGTTTATTTCACAGTGTCTGATAACGGACACCTCTTGCTCTGAATTATTACATCAAAGTGTCTGTGCTGTTGCGATCTTGAGTCTGCTGTTCAGGTGTGTATCTGTAAGCTGCAACTCTACAATGACGCAGCAGCAGAACTGGAAGAAGAAGCAGAAGATGGCCAGTTCCACTGTGGGCCTGATAGACGCCCTCCGGGGGCCTGATCTGGCCCCTGGGCCGCATGTTTGACACTCCTGCCCTAGAGTTCACCCTTCAAAGCAGCCATTTTCTCCAGGGGACGTGATCTTGGTCAGCTGGAGATCAGCTGTAATAGCGGAAGATCTCCTGGAGACTGGCAGAGACCCTAGGAGCAATCCATTGAGAGTGGGAAATGCTCACCGGTTCACACATGAGTGCCTGGCGGTAACCGCCAAACAGCAGCGCTTGTGCGCGGAGGAAGGCTCGGGCCACTCCGTCCCCGGTCGTTGCAGACTGTTTCTTCAGCTGGTACTTCAGGAAGGAGACCTGAGGAGGGGAGAAGTGGAGAGAGAAGCTCATCTTCCCGGCCAGGGCCCTCCACACGATCACAAAAAGGGCGCCTCGGTCACTGTTCCTATTTCGTGCGATAATCCCAGAAACACAACTTTACATCAGTTTTACAACGTCTCGTCCCTTATGTCCGTGCCAGCGTCCTTGGCATGGTTGCCAACCTCCAGGTGGGACCTGGGGATCCCCCAGAATCATCTCCAGACTCTTGGAAAGATTGGCAAAAGTAGTTGACTATTCCGAGATTGCAATGGATCTTTGCTTCACTGGAAAGGAGGCGTTTTCTTCCATGTTAAAAATCTTTGTTTCTAAGGGAAGGGTTCACAGGAAATCTACAGAACAACAAAGACCCCTAAGGAATACATCTTTACACTTTGACCACACGGTCTACAACAACAATGGAGATTCTTCCTTTCTTCTTGTCCCCTAGAAGGAAATCACCTGAATGCATTAACCAATGATTGTTAGTAAACAGGCTTCAGTTTCCCCGGGCTTGTTTTCCATTGGCTTTCTGCCAGGTTCGTCTAAACAACAGCACACAAGGTAAGCATATTAACCCTATAATGGCTGACTTTTAGACCCTGCAACACACGTATTTCCGACACAGACTACAGAGATCAGTTGCCCAGGAGAATATGGATGCTTTGGAGGGTGGACTCTGGGGCACTGAACTCCACTGAGGTCCCCCCCTCTTCTCGAACCCTGTCCTTCCCAGTCTCCACCCCCAAATCTCCAGGAATTTCATAACCCAGAGCTGGCAGCCCTAACCTTTGGGGGATGGGGACCATGTTGTCGTACAAGTTCTATTGTTGTAACTTTTCATGGGTTTTCCTTTCCTTTGTCCAGGGCTATTTTTGGGCAGGAACGCACAGGAACGGAGTTCCGGCTGGCTCCCAAGTTGGCCACGCCCAGCAGGAACTCATTAGCATAATAGGCCACACCCAACAGCAGACACTCATTAGGATTGGCTACATTAGGGGTGTGTGGCCTAACATGCAAAGGAGTTCCTGCTACAAAAAAAGGTTTTGACAACAAACAAGGTAAACAGAATAAGAAGCAAAAGGTGGGTGTGGCTGGATGACCAGACTTCTGGTAACATGTGGGTGTGGCCTAATGTGCTAATGAGCTGTGCTGTCAGGGGTGTGGCCCAATATGCTAATGAGTTCCTGCTGTTGGGTGTGGCCTATTATGCTAATGAGTTCCTGCTGGGTTTTTTCTACAAAAAGAGCCCTGCTTTGTCCAATAAAAGCTCTGTAACTCGATGCCTTGAGCTGTATAACCATCTGACATTTCATTTATAATCTGTGTCTGTTTCCCAAAAGACAAAAGGAATTTTTAAAAAATGATCAACATCCAAGGTTATATTGGGATCTTGATTTGAGGGTAGGAAGAGGACCATCCTGTATGGATTAAAATCACTGAAATTCTTTCTTTTCTTTATGGGTTTTATAATTGCGTTGTTGTTGTTTTTTAAAAAAGAATGTCTTATTATTAGTATGTATCTACTAATTTATCTACTAATCTACTAATAAATGATAAATAAATAAATATCTACTAATAGGAGCTGCAGTGGCTCAAGTGGTTAAGATGCTGAACTGCAGGCTGTGGAAGGTCCGTAGTTCAGCAGTTCGAGACCCCGGGTGCCGCATGACGGAGTGAGCTCCCGTCTCTAGTTCCAGCTCCTGCCAACCTAGCAGTTCGAAAGCAAGAAATTGCAAGTAGATAAATAGGGACCACTTGGGTGGGAAGGGAACAGCGTTCCGTGCGCCTTGGTGTTTAGTCATGCCGGCCACATGACCACAGAAACGTCTTCGGACAGCGCTGGCTCTTCGGCTTGGAAACGGAGATGAGCACCGCAACCCTGGAGTCGGACTCGACTGGCTTTCAAGCAAGGGAACCTTTACCTATCTACCAATAAAGTAGAGCTGATCACTGTACTTGGGGTCTGTTCGTCCATGGAACCCGCTACTTAACAGGTACCCTATATCAGGAGGGTATTAAGATATTGGCTGTAAAATAAGCTCTTCATGAAAACAATACGAACGACGTCACTCGGGAGGCTGTCCAGGTCCTGGAAGGGCGATTCCAACGTGTTGCTGTCAATGTTCAGGATGACGACGTCTTCCAGGGCCTTGCCCCTCACTCTCTGGAGAGATCCGAGACAGAATTGAGAGATTAAGAACAGCACCCAGGAAATCTGTTTATTGGGGGAGGGGGAAGCAGAATCCAGACCACAGCAGAAGCAAGAAAGGCGCCACCAGCAGGCTTTTGAGTGCGCCAGAACTAGTCAGACCGAACGTTCAACCTACAAAGAGAGAACTGGAAAAACACGTCATCGTTAAAGGACACGGCGGCAGGCCCACGGGCGAGACGGGACAACCTCTGAAGTGGCCGTTCAGGAAAATCTTGTCCGGAGGCCGAGGGAGAATGGTCACTGCTTCATTATCATGCTCTGATTGGTGCAGATTCTAGCATTTCGGTTCTGAGCATGAAAGGCCTTTATTAGTCAGAGTTTTCTGAATCCCCACCTTCAGGCCTGAACTTTACAATAGTAGTAGGGATTTCTGTTGGTGCCCTGAGGGCTTATTTCGACCATATAAATAAATAATACATTCATAAATAAATTGGCTGTTGATTTATAATATGTAAAAGCAATAGAGAGTCCTGTGGCACCTTGAGGACTAACAAATATAGCACTAATTGCTGTGAGCCGGAGTTGGTGACCTTGGGTCAGTCACAAGCTCTCTCGGAGCTGTTCTCTCAAGAGCAATTCTCTCAGCGCTCTCTCAGCCCCACCTCCCTCAGAGGGTGTCTTGTTGTGGGGAGGCCGAGGGAAAGGAGTTTGTGAGCCGCTCTGAGACGCCGAGTGAAGGGCAGGGTATAAATCCAGTCTCCTCCTCCTCCTCCTCCTCTTCTTCCTCTTCTCCTCCTCCTCCACTGGTACCCATCAAGAATTTGTGTAGTTGTAACAAAAAACCAATAAAACTACCCTGGTTTCAGGGGATTTAAAACAAAGAATTTTTAGAAAGGGGCGGGGCCAAGGTAGGCCGTGGGCCAGCAGGGCTTCTGATTGGCCACTGGAGACATGATGGGGTGTGCAGATTTTAAAAAATATTACTTTGGCAGCAGCTGCCAGCATAGAGCTAGGATCGTTACTGTGTGTGACTGAAGGTCAGCCGTGTGTATTCAAGGAGATCTTTTTAAATGCTATATGATTTCCCGTACAATAAATACAAGCCATCCTGTGAAGTCGAGCTCATGCTGAAATGGTGAAGAGTTACCATTATAGTTATGCATAACCTCACTCCCTGACGGTTTGTGGTATTGGCTCCGCCCCTGCGGCAGCCACACTGTGTTTGGCTCCGCCTCTTACGGCAGCCATTTTGTAGTTGCGCCCACTGACCTGGGTCAGAATTCCAAAGATGCCCACAGGCTCAAAAAGGCTGGGGTCTTCACCATTATGCCAAACTGGTTCTCTGGCAGGGTACAGTGCAGGGTACATTGCCATAAAGTCCACCCTACTTTTGTCTCCGCTCAGGAAGGATGGGACTCCAGAGCAAACTGATTTCTGCAGTCGCTCGCTCACAACTTTCATGCCAGTAGCTCAGAAGGTAAGATTTTTGCTCACAAGACTCCACAGCTTAGAGGGCGCATTACCCCTGCCCCAGAGCATTGCAAGTTGGGAAAACAGCACACTGGGAAGGCAGAAGTCCCTCCTTCCCTCATGCTATGGATTAAAACGACGATGCTCCTCCCTATTTCCCCGGAGTCTCATGGACACGAACTCCCCCAATCCCAAGCAAGTGGCATCCATGTGACAACACGAAAGCAACCATCCACATCTTCAACGCTAGCCCTGTGTTTGACACACCAATGAAAAAGCAAAGGAATATGATTTCCAGCATACAGATGACTAACTCTGAAGGGGGGTTTCTATCATAATTTTTTGCAGGGGTCATTTCCTGCAGGAGCGCACAGGAGTGGAGCTCCGGCAGTAAGGAGCCCAGGGGGCGGGCACATGCAACAAGCCCCACCCAAAAAAGCCATTCTTAGACGCCGAGTGAAGGGCAGGGTATAAATCCAATTTCCTCCTCCTCCTCCTCCTCCACTGGTACCCATCAAGAGTTTTTAGAAAGGGGCGGGGCCAAGGTAGGCCGTGGGCCAGCAGGGCTTCTGATTGGCCACTGGAGACATGATGGGGTTTGCAGATTTTAAAAAATATTACTTTGGCAGCAGCTGCCAGCATAGAGCTAGGATCGTTACTGTGTGACCGAAGGTCAGCTGTGTGTATTCAAGGAGAGCTTTTAAAATGCTATATGATTTCCCATACAATAAATACAAGCCAATCTGTGAAGTCGAGCTCGTGCCTGAAATGGTGAAGAGTTACCATTATAGTCCCCAGTAAACTGAAAAATCAAGGCGGACTAGATGGATTTTATATTTCTTTCCTCCTTTCGGACCGTTCTAACCAGATGACCTTTAAGGTAGCCAGAATTCTGCGCCTTGGTCTGCTGAACAAGGAAGCAGGCGGTTAAGTCCTTTTATTAATTATGTTTGCAGTATTGCAATCAGCCTATTGTATGGCTCCCAAATTGGACATAGATGTGCAGATCCATTCGATTTGAGTCCGGGAGCGCTTTAGAGCAGAGGTGTCGAACTTATTTGCTACAAGGGCCGGATCTGACATAAAATTGTTATTATAAAATGTAATGTTACAAGCAAAGTGTGGACAATCATGATGACCTAATCAGAGAACAAATGTAAAGAAGAAGAAGAGGAGGAGATTGGATTTATGCCCTGCCTTTCCTTACAAACCCCTTTCCCTTCCCCTCCCCACAACAGACACCCTGTGAGGTAGGTGGGGCTGAGAGAACTCTGACAGTAATGGCTCTTTTTCAAGAACAGCTCTTATCAGAACTATGGCTTGCCCAAGGTCATCCAGCAGCTGCGAATGGAGGAGTGGGGAATCCAACCCGGTTCTCCCAGATTAGAGTCCGCGCACTTAACCACTACACCAAACTGGCTCTAAAGAAAACAGTTGCGAGAGTCTGACCCACAATAAACAAATTCCTTCAAATCATAAGAAAATCCTAGTGTAAAAATACATAATCAACGGCGTCTCCTGGGAGCCATTAGAAGTTTAGCAGCATATCTGAGCCTGAATACTTATTGAGATCAGCGTCCTTTCTGAATGTATTATCTTTCATGACGTTTTGTAAAGCACTTTATGAGCAGGAGAGCTTTTGTATTACTCTAATATTTCCTGAGGAAGATCCAATTTTGAAACGTTGTTATTTAATACGGAGACGACGTTGAAGATGTATTTCCACACTAGGATTTTCTTATGATTTGAAGGAAGTTGTGTATTGTGTTGTAGTGCTTGTTGACCACAATATACAGAAAGCATTTTCTTCGCAAGTCTTGTTGACTGCTTGATCTGTGGGTTAGACTCTCATGACTGTTTTCTCTATATTTGTTCTCCATAAAATGTAATGCCAGGTACCAGAGATATAAACTTTGTAGTGAAAGCAACTGATTTACTGGGGAATCCACAAAAGCCCCAATAAATGTATTTAATCATATGCAGGACTAGGTTCCTTCCAAGGAATACCATAAAAGGAGGCATATTTTACATTTCCATACATGCCAGTTGCTTGCGGGCCGATTGTGGCCCCTGAGCCATGTTTGACACCCCTTCTTTAGAGACTAACATGAGTTTCAGGTTTTAAAAGATTGAGAGATTTCAGACAGAACCGTTTGAGAACCGGTTCCCTTCCGGAATATATTTGTCATTTCATACACAATCGCTTCTGTCCCATTTAGGAAACGGGGGTGAAGCGTTTTACCTGTCAACCACTTCCAAGTACTGCTCAGTTTCCTCTCCTGGTTCCGATGCAATTTTTCCCGCCGTTTTTCGCCCGTACAGGCGATCTCCGGCTTTTTTTTTTGAAAGTTTGCTTTAGAGCGCTATAGTGCTATAGCGCTATAACGCTATAACAGAATAGCATTATATCAATCCCACTGGAATGCATTGAGTGTTTTGTTATACTGCTATAGCGCTCTAAAGTGAACGTAAAAAAAAAAAAGCCGGAGATCGTTTGCATGGGCGAAAAATGGCGGGGGGAAAGCAGGAAAAAGCGGTGCAGTCTGAAATGGCAAACCGCTTCAGATCCAACTCTTTACCGGAAGGGGAAAGCCATGTGTGAAATGGCAGCCCTATACCGGTTCACTTCAAAACGGATCATTACTGGCTTGAAACCGGATGAAACTGGGTAATGTGAAATTCCCTTGAGTCTAGTGGCACCTTTAAGACCAACAAAGTTTTATTCAAGGTGTATGCTTTCGTGCAAGCTTATTCAAGGTGCAAGCTTTCGTGTGCACGTACACGTCGTCAGACACTTTTGTCCAATATACAGATGACTCTCTATGTGTGTCAATCTTAGGTAAAAAGTGATAACCACTGAAAACAAAATAAGGGACCAACAAAAGTAAGACATAATTTAGGGCCCCGGTCACACGGAGAATTTGCCGTGCGAAAGGCACACGGCTGGGCGGATTTTTGGGGTCACACCGCAACATCTGGCAAGCGTCACGCACCTGTGGCCAACCCGTGGCGTGTCGCCAAAGATGCATACTTAAAAAGTACCTGCAAAGATCTACTAGCAAATGGTTTGCCACGGGCTGCAGACGGACTCATTTGGCGTGATCGCGCCGGCGCGCGCCTATTCCCTCTGGCCGTCCTCTTTGCAGCTCGTGCGCCAAAGGACGAAACCCAGGTGCGTTGCCGTCGCATCTGATCGCAGAATGCGACGGCGAAAATAGCCACGTCTTTCCCAGCACGTGTGGCTGGGGCCTGAATATTTTAAATTGAACAAACAGTTTTTCCCAGACTCCCCCCTTTTTTTTGCATCCTTTGAGCTTGAGTCCCAGGACAAACAACCCCCCCGACCCCTTCTCTGATCGGCCCCAACAACAAAATAGCACGAGCCCTTGAGTCTGCTTGTCTTCTCCACTACGAACGGCACGGAATTGCAAACTCACCTCCATGAGGCTGGTGTGGACTCCGATGAGGTAGGGCATAGGAGCGCTGCAGAGGAAAGACAGGTGGTGAGCTGGGAGCGGGTTCAGGTTCAGCGCCCTGGGGCAAGACGTTGCCAAGGGGTGCACTGGAAATGGCTCGGCAACTTGAAAAGACTACTGCCGAAGGTTACAGCAGAAAGTGCCAAAGCAGGATTATAGCCGGACATTAATTAGACAAAAGTAACAATCACGGGGGGATGACACAACTTTAAGGTTGAAGACGACGAAATCGAAATGGTTCAGATTTTCATCTTCTAATTGAAATTAAGATATTCGTCTTCAAATTGAAATTGTTTAAGATTTTCGTTTTAAAAAAAGATTTCCTATTCCTCAGCTCCGTCATCAACCCAAAGGGCGCCTGCAACCTGGGAAAGAGAAGGCTTAGAGGGGATCCCTGGGGCAAGACGTTGCCAAGGGGTGCGCTTGAAATGGCTCGACGACTTGAAAAAACTACTACTGAATGTTACAGCAGAAAGTGCCGAAGCAGGATTATAGCCGGACATTAATTAGACAAAAGTAACAATTACCGGGGGGGGATGACACAACTTTAAGGTTGAAGACGAAGAAATCGAAATGGTTCAAGATTTTCATCTTCAAATTGAAATTGTTTCCGCTCGCAACATTATACCGTATAGACCAGTGTTCCCTCTAAGCTGAGTTAGTGTGAGCTAGCTCACAGTTTTTTAGCCTCCGGCTCACACATTTTTGTCATGGCTCAGGAAGGAGGGCTCCAGAGCAAACTGATTTATGCAGTAGCCAAATCGCTCACTCACAACTTTAATGCCAGTAGCTCGCAAAGTAGGATTTTTGCTCACAAGACTCCTCAGCTTGGAGGGAGCACTGGTATAGACAAAAACTATTCGCCTACATGTAAAAAACAGTGTGGTCAATTAGCAAATTATATGCATTGCTGGTGGACTTGTCCCTTGATTCAAGACATTTGGACTCAAATACTCACTAGAATAGAAGATATGACATCAGTATTAATACCTTTGAAACCAGAGGTGGTATTATTGGAAAACTGGACAACATTACAGACAATGCGACAAAAAGAAGCAGTTTCAATTTTAGTGACTATAGCAAAATCTATGATCGCAACAGAATGGATTGATAGATAACCTCTCTCCGTTCAACAATGGTTAATAAAAATGTGGGGTTATTTTATCATGACTATGTCTTATAATTGTTATATGAATTCAGCAACATAATATCAAAACAAAGTGGTAAAGGTTTAGTTCCCAATTATAAGTTACTTAATGGAAAAAGACATCCTTCCAAGAAACCCTCTGTACCAGGACTTGATTTATTTTTTGATGGTCTTTGTAAGTTTATATACAACTGAATGTTTACTGGTTGGTAAAAACATTAAAAATTGTTAGTAAAAAAAATTGAAATTGTTTTAAGATTTTCATCTTAAAAAGAGAAGGCTTAGAGGGGACATGATTGCAGCCTTCAGGTATTTGAAGGGCCATCATGTAGAAGATGGAGCGGATCTATTCTCTCTCACTCCGGATTGCAAGAATAGATCTAACGGGTGGAAATTACAAGGGAGTCGATACCGGCTAAATATCAGGAGAGACTTCCTGACTGTAAGAGTGGTTGAGCAGTGGAACAGTCTGCCTCGGGAGGTGGTGGGTGCTCCTTTACTGGACGTTTTCAAGTGGAGGCTGGATGACCGTCTTTCGGGTATGTTGTAGGGCTATCTTTTGGCTCTGCTCCTGCAGAGTGCAGGGGGCTGGACTAGATGACCTGCAAGATCCCTTCCAACTCTAACATTCTATGATTCTATGATTCTAAGAAGTCAGAAGGAGACTGAGACTGGAGAAGGCAGCCAGGAAGGAGCTAGAAAAGATAATTAGGTGTAGGGATGTGTCGCTGGCGACCACGATCAAGTTAATTCGGGCCATAGTATTCCCCATTACTATGGGCATGAAAGTTGGACAATGCACACACACACACACACACACACACACACACACGTGTATGTGTGTTTTGCTCCCTCTAGTAGATGATTTGATATTACACAGGTTTATGTCCAGCATAAGAACCCACAGTTTAAATATGCAGGGAGATATGCCAGACATAACCCACTGTAATATCAAATCAACCACTAGAGGGAGCACGACATGTGCAGAACAAACCCCCCCACCCCCCCACCCCGCTGTCCCTGAAGAAACAGTGATTTACAAGCAAGGGAAATATGCATACAGAAAAGCCCTTAGGCGCCAGGTGAAAGCACATCTTTTTCAGCC